AAAGGACTGAAGAGATAATTCCACATGAATACCTCTGAAATATGGCTTAGCTAGCTCGCTTTTGTGGAAAGGTTTTTTTTTTTGTTATTTTTTCCCCTCATATGCACATTGTACATATACGCTGTGCTTTAATATGTTTTGAAAGAGACAGAATAAAATCTTTAGGTAATTCTGAGGTTGGTTCCTTTCCTTGAGCAGAGAAGAGAAAATATAAAATCCATTGACTGTCACACTGGGACTATAGCTGGGAGAGAAAAAAGTATTTTCATTGTCCTGTTAAATCTGCTGCAGCTGTAAAATACCCAAAATATTAAACAAAAATTGAAATAAAGAGTAATAAACATGCATAGTTTCTAAAAAAAAAAAAAAAAAAAGACTCCAAAATAAAAGATGAATGCATTACCTAATATTCAGTGTCATTGTTGTGTTGTCAGTAATAACAATTTATAGTAGATTAGTACATTGCAACATCTTCACAGCATCTAATACCTTTGTTAGTACAGAAGAACGTACCTGTTGTGGAGCAGATGCTTAAAAATTATGGTATGTTTTTCATTACAAAAGCTGTTTTAAATGCTGTTTCTTTCAGAACAAACATGTACAGGTTATCTTGTGTATCAACATGAAGAAAAATCCCGTTGGAAACCTTCTGCGATAAAATATTAAATATTTTAAGCAGTTACTAAAGTTACCAAACACATGTCTAACTTGATAAATATTACAGAGCTATAGACGTTTCTCGTGGCTTAAATTAATCATGTTCAGAGCTTCTCCTCATTAATATTTACATCCATATGTTAAATTAGAAGCGAACGCAGCCACGATAGCAGCTGATAAACTTACATGCAGTATTTTTGTGGCCAGTTGCTGTGCGAGTCCAGCACTTGCAAATGACTCATTTCCTCCCTGCTTTTGCCAGCTTCATTTCTAACTGGTGACTCTGGCTTTTTAACAATAGCCACGGCTCCCCGGAGGAAATTGGACTATATCGACGCTATTAAATCTAATCATTTAGAAAGGCTCAGTATGCTGATTCAGATATCCAGGAACTAATCATTAGGTACTGGTGCATTAGCATTATACAGTTGTGTCATTATTTTTTACTGTGTTGTCCTTTACAGTATTTAGGAACTTGGATGAAGCAAACAAAACACAGCAAAGGTGACATTTTAGAATGTTTTTGGACTGACCTGTGGAGAAATTCAGCTTAATAAATTCCTGCTCGGTGGAAAAGTTTGACGCGTCACCACAGATTTATGTCATTATTATAAGAATCTCAAGAATGCTTTATTCAGAGAAGCATATTTTCATCTTCTCGCTTTATGAAAGTTTTCAAAGTTTTTAACGTCTCTGAATGGCTCTCGCAGGATGAATCACACGACTATAAAAAGATACAAAAAAACCTTCGAGTGAAGCAGCAAGATGAAAATCAGTAAGCACTTGGTTTAACAGGTTTCCCATTTATCTCATTACGATGAGCAAGAAAGGAGTAAATTCATGTGAAGAAGAGGGAAAACGCTGACAATCGAACGGCAGGACAGCGCATGTTGAGGGAGAAGGTGACTTTGTGACAGCCCTGTGCTGGGGTGGCTCTTGGCCGGATGATCAGGGACAGGCTGACCTCCCACGCAGAATTAGTCATCTCTTTACACCACTTATTTTTTTTCCACTAAAGACTCTTATTCAACCTTCTTGCAACCTTCCTTCACATTGCGGTTTGGCCGCCCAGGCTTTTTCTCTCCCACACACATACAGAGTCAGCAGCCTCTAGACATAATCATTTATTGTTCAAATTTCCACAGGGATGCCGATCAAGAGGTGGTTAAATACATAGAAGCTAATTTATCTTTATCTTTTGAATTTCACAGAAACAGTTTTGACCTAAATACAACAGGCTGCTTTGATAAAAGTACCTGTCCTCTCTTCTAATCCTGCCCTGAAATGATCTTTATGTTTTTTTTGCATTTTCTCTATAAGAGATGAGTGGCATCTCTTCAAGCCAAGTTTCCTCAATAAGAAGCTGCATTTGGGTTTAAAAAGCTGCCAAATAGAAGCTAAGAGAGGCTTTCTGTGGATATATGTGCCACTCTCTTTAAAAAAACGTTCACTGAAATGTCCAAATCATGCAAAAAAATAAAAATAAAAATCTTGTACAGCATGCAGCTCAATAGGCCCATTATCTGGAATAAAAATTGTACATGCACTGTCACGTCAGACATTAATTATGATGGCAATAACACACTCAAATAAATCTTCAAAAAAAAAAAACAGCATTCCTCCGCAGCTTAGCATTGATTTTTTTTTTTTTATCCTTCGTATTTTTTCTCTAAACAGTTTCTCACCCACCTACATGGTGCCTTGACAGATGTAAATACATGCAAGTTAAAGGCAAATCAGTCGTCTTTTGTTGCCATTTCTGTTCACTTCTAACGTAATCCAACACATGGCGGGAGGAACAAAGAGAGAGAAATGGAGAAACAGAGGCAGGGAAGCAGACACTGAAACAGACTGAGTTTAGATCTTATATACACATCCTCTGCTGCCACACCTTCCCTCTGCTCAGCCCCGCTCACATGTGGCTGTCTGAAGTCACGCTGTGCCTAAAATCTACAGTGATGGGGGGAAAAGAAAAAAAAAAACATGCAAAAACAAACTTGGAAAAAAACACATCTCCTCCTCTTCTGTTTATTTTTGTTGTAAGTGGCATGAGTCATAAACTTCTGTCTCTCTTCTGCCTGATTTCCCTGGTGAACGAACGAGTCCGGTAATATAAAGAAACACATGAGACGCATACGAGCACTAAAGATTTCGGATAATGCATTTTACTCAGAGAGGCGGCAAATGTAAAGCTGCCAGACGTGTAGAAAAGTGTTAGACACATGGGGTCAGTGAAAATGAAAGAGGAGGATGGGACAGCGAGAGAGTGCTGTGACTCAGCCTTTCCCTGGCCAGAGAAATAACAACTAAATACATCACGGGTGCTGACATGTTTTTTCCTGCTTGCAGGTACCAGACAAAGCCACAGAAAAAACATTAACCCAGCCAGACAGTTCATAGTTACTGAAAATGTGTTATTTCTATCAGCTACTGGTTGTTGGATGATGAGTGGCTGTTGAGAGTGCATTAACTGATGACTTTTGAGTCATATCACCGCTCACTGCTGTAGGCTACACAAACAAGGGCTGGGCACCAGCTGCAACCAGCTAACCACGCAGGCAGGGTGTATCGGTATCAATACCTGAGCACCTGTTGTGTTAAGCCTAAAACCTGTGGCCCTCTGCAGAGTAAATATGTCGCAAATTCTCTGCAGGTGAGCTCCGCCAGTGGGACGACAACCTGGGTGCTGATGGCGAGAAAAAAAAAAAAAGGTGCAGGGGGAGAAAGAGAAAAGATGGGATATCGAGCAAATAAAATTCCCACCACGTCTGGAAGAGATTGCACACAGCAGCCTCAAAGTACACGGAGTACTTGCACTCTTCCAAGCACACTCACGTGCAACCGTGCCCGACACAGCGCCTCTACAGTGATCAGTGTGTGACTTGAATGCCTCACAAGGCTGCGGATAAGCTATGAAAACAGTGCCACTCAGTGGTCTCTCTGCTGTCGGCAGGCAAGGGAAATGAATGTGAGAGAACAGGCCGGACTTAGTGGCGTTTACAGTACATGATCCACACAGCTGCCTGTGTGAAACCGGCAGAGTGAAGAGAGATCTGCGGATCAGGACATCATTAACTTACAGGGCTGATTTCCCCCGACCGGTTTGCTTCTGTGAGCCTAATTAAGTTACATCAAGATGCTTTGAAATCATCTGACACTCAAAAATTCACTTTGTTTTTTAGACATATGCAGTGAAAGATAAGATACATATAGTCACGTTTCAGAGTGACTAAAGGAGTGATGTGAGAAATGGCATTTATTTAGACTCCTTTTAAAGTCAAATTTCATGTTGTCATTTGATGTTTTTGCATGATTTTACTGTGTGAAGTGATGACTTGCATAACTCTATTATGTACTGTGAATCACGTAAGAGTGAAATTTGCTCAATGGATTACAATTTTTCAGTACCTATGGATGAGTAGTTGTTTCCAGGGTAGCAATCAATAAGAATTCAATTAAACAAAAGGAGATAGCTACCTATGGGTCTGGATATCTTTAAAAGAAAACCTCAAACTCTGTCATTCTGTATGTTTTAATGTCAACTTAGAATTTCCCCCTCATTTTCTATTCTGTATTTTATTAACCTACTTATTTCATACTTTATTTTGTTTTTAAACTTATGCCCCGTTTGATTCCTTTAATGTTCTGCACTTGGAGTTTTAGTGCATGTCTTGTGCTATAATAATTCATTTTAATTGACGTATTGGTGATCCAGTTAATATTTACACCCCAAAACCCAAATATATCCAATCTGATCTTCATTACTTTAAAATGATCAGGAACAATCTGCCAATTAAAACAGCACTACCATCAAGGTTAACAATTTGGATTGTAATTTTTTTTTTTTTTCCCAAATTGCTCATCAAAATAACAGACACATCGTGAGAAAGATGGATATCTGTCGGGATGGCTGAATCACACCGGCCTCTGTTGCCAAGGAGATACAATGGTGGATCTGACTCGAGAAATCCAAGTAGTTGAAGGCAAATTTAAAAAAAAAAAAAAAAACTAACAAAAGAAACCTATGAAACTGTGACAACGTGCTGCCACCTGGGGAAAGGTTCACAAGTTCTCAGGATCAGCTGAGGCCACGGTGAGCTGCTGTCAATCGCTTTTTTTTTTTTCTTTTTCTTCTTCTTCGCTGTAGCAGTCAAACAGCAATGGTGTGTTTGTTTATTTATTTATTTACTTATTGACAGACTCCGCCATCAATAAATAATGAGGATGGAGAGCAGTCGTGACTGGCGCTGCATGCATCTAGGAACTCGTACCCCTCAGCTTTGGAAAACTGGCTCATCGCATCGGCACGCCACTGCGCTCACGAGAAACTCTCACACAAGACGCGAGGTTCCATTTCAGATTTATTGTTTTAGAATCTGACTAGAGAAAGAAGAAAATGAAAAAAATATAAAAATATTAGGTCAAGATGCGTCACGATCAGGAGAAAATGTTAAAAGTGTGAAAAGTCACAAACTGTACATCAAAAAGTGCTTTGTATAATATGTCTGACCGTCTCTGAGACAAAGCGTTAAAGGGAAGCTCGTTTGAAGTGTCAAACAATTTACAGCGCTTTATCCAAGGACGAGTGGATTGCATTTGACTAAAGCCACCCACATTGATAGACACTTAATTCCATACAGCATGCTCAAGGTCATCTCGCGCTCTCGCTCTCTCTACAACAGTCACAAAAGCAGTGTCTGCATTACAGAGAGACCCACACATTTCCCCTATGCAGGATGAATTCCTCCACTAGCACTGCAGAAAGTCACTCCTTCGTGAGGGGAAATCAGGCTCACGTGAACACGCATGAGCTTGAACACGGGAGCTATTCTCTCAGTTGCATCTAAGCTCAGAATACATGTTAAAAAAAATAGTGAATGAATTTGGTTTGATCTGCTGTGCTGTAAGATTAGGGATTATATACAGCTGGTAATCCATCTGAGGGGAGGATGAACACTCCTCTGGCTTTAGCTCTGCTCTCTGATAGACTGTCTGGACAAACACCGGCTCTCCTCATCCGCTCTGACCTTCCTCAGGCCGTTTGCAGAGGGTGGAGGCGCGGCCGGGCGCGAGACGAGTCGAAGACAGCGTCGGTCACGACGTGTCATTCCTTCTGGCAGCCACAGGGGGCGCACTGGTTCTGCTCACACCGCTTGGTGGGAAGGCTTGGCTCCGAGCCTGGTTTCTGCAGGCAGGCAATGGGAAAGTATTAACACTTGGAATAGTGACAGTACCTACCTCAGACAGATTAGCGGTACTAGTGAGCAATATGGCTACTGGAGGGTGTGTTCACAGAGAAAAAGCCATCACATAAATATCTGTCCTTTTCCTTAATAAATGCAAGAAAATTTCAGACGCACATCAAGGTCAAGGTCGCAGCCACGCCTTTTTTCCCCCAGAAATGTCCAGATACTTGTCCTGTTGTCACTGTGCCACTGGGTGTCAGTGTGGTGACATACAGACTCAGCACAGCTTGATTTCACTCTCCAGCAGCATCGCCCTCCCCTCTCCTTCTCTCTGCCACTCATTCTTTTTATCTCCCGGCCCCCTGTTCACCTGATTCTGTCTCCGAGCGGGCCGCACAGGTTGGTTGTCGGGGTGGTTGGGCGCCCACGGCCCCAGGCTCTGGTTGGAGTAGAAGTCCATGGGGTAGACTTCCTTCCAGCTTACCTCTTGCAAAGCAACAGCTGCCTGGAAGATAAGATAAACGGGGAAGATAGATGGACACAAATTGCAGCGAAAACTGGAGAAAAAAAAAAAAGGGAACAAGAAACTTGACAAGCTAAAAGTGCAGTAACAGCAGCCTCTGAGGGTGCTATGCTACATGATTCTGCTGTGTCTCTGCGTTATGTAGGACTGGATTTGCAGTTTTTTCAGGGCAAACGAGCCGCAGCGAGCCGCGGAGTGATGAGAAGACGCAGCAGACTGACTATACAGACGAGACAGGTGTCATAATATTAAACATGGATAACAGGCAGAGTTGTCATGTTATCCCTATGCAGCTGCACTGCGTGACACAACAGCTGGCAGAGGAGTGCAACAGCGCTGGCATGACGGTGCTGTGACATAAGTGCAGACTGCTCCATATGGAGGAGAAGTGCCTGTGAATATTGATTCTGAATGAAAGAAAGAGCAGTGGATTGACTGAACAGATGAATAAACAAGGGTTCTGAATGAAAGAACAAATCCTTGGTTTGTTTAATTATTAATCCCCCCCTCCCCTCATCTCCTCACTCATCTTTCATACTATGTAGATGCGTAACTTTAGGAGAATTTGGGATGATTTTGATGATGAATGGAGAAAGTAAGTCATATAAATATATCTCTCACACACACACACAAAAACAGTTGTACACCAATTAAAGAATTTAGTTCAAAGGAAATGTGAAAAAGTCAGCTTCAAAGTGGGGAAATCTTTCTTGTAGTAGGACATAACTCATCACTGTTACGCAGCTTGTGAGTAACTGCTGCTGTTTGGTAGTAGAGGGGTTGCATAGTGGCTGAAAACACCAAGAATGCATTAAACAAGTGGTGGAGAACAACTTAAAGAAGTTTCTTTGGGTTTCAGGTTGTGCATCATACATGCTGTATTTTATATGCATGCATGCGTCAGGTATAACAATATTAACACAACCTTCATCTTTCAAGCTTCTAAATATACAATCTAAGGGTCGGTCCACATGTGATCGATCGTAAACAAACTGGAATACATATTTCATTATATACACTTTGTTTTTCTTTTGGCCTTTCCGTTGCCCAAACGTCCTTCTGCTGGAGTCTTCCTCTCCTCTCTCCTCTCTCCTCTCTCCTCTCTCCTCTCTCCTCTGCCCTTATTCCACACATCTCTCGTGTCTCATCGCTTGTACCCACTGCTCTCCTCCTCTCCCCTCTCACACCAGCTGCCTCTCTCTGTGGAAGCTAGCTTCTCCTGCTAATCCCTGCTCTGACAGGAGAGCCAAGTGTGTCTTATTGACTATAAATATAACATGAGACGCACTGAAAATAAATGCTGCTGCCTCCCTCCCCACCCTCCCCTCCATCTCCTTCCTCTCCTCTCCTCTCTCTCTCCTCACTTCACTCCACCCCTCCCATCCTCTTCATCTTCATCCTAAATGCCACAGTGAAAAGCACAGCTCACTGAGATGCATAACACTCATAGGTACGGGATGGGTGGGTGGGGTGAATTAAGACTTATCACAGCCACACACATATAGACACAAGTGCAGCTGCAAATTATTTAAATGCACAGACATTGTTCCCAAATAGCTGGCGGGCGAGAGCGGAGCGAGCTGTAACGAAAAAAAAAAAAAAAAGAAGAAGGACTTAAGAAAACAGATTGCTGCTTTCCTCATTACAGCGAGGGGCGAATTTCAAGCTTCGCACGCGGCATTATAGACCTCAGTCAAAAACAATATAAAACAATCATTACTTTTTCTTCTAAGGTGAACGCTATCATTATTCTTAATGGCCTCATTCTGAAGTGTAAGTGCTCGGCGGGCAGCACACGCAGAGACGTGCGCTCAGAATAAAACAGCAACCATTTCGAATCACAAATCCAATATTCAAGACAAGCAATTCCCCTCGCAGCCATTTCACAGGAATTCAAATCAGCAGCGCATCTTTGACGGGAAAGAAAAAAAAAAACATTGACTGAATTAATAGTTGCCATCAAATGCTAACCAGCTAACAGCTCATAACTGCCAAACTCATCACAAAAGCAAGCCTGTTTTTCTTTCTTTTCTTTTTTTTTTTTCATTTTTTGCTACAACAGCTGCGGCGGCACACAAACAAACGCTCGCTTTGAAATGGATCTTTATGGGCTTCTGTCCGATCTATCTCTCTCCCTTTAGAAAAACAAGACAGCTGCAGGAGGAGGAGGAGGAGGAGGAGGAGGATGGGTTGGTGGGGAAGGATGAGGAGGAGGAGGAGGAGGAGGAGTAGGGGAGGGTCGCGCTGTGTGGTCCTCTAGCCAGCAGGGGGGGCTATTCTGCTGCTGATGGTGTTTTTTTTTTAACATGCATGTGAGCTGGTGCTGGAGGAAGAGGGAGGGCAGGAGTAGGCACGAAAACGCCATCTCCAGCACAGTCAGGCCTTGATGAGTCCTACACGGATTCGCTGCCCTTTCAAACACACTTAGCTTATCTCCTGTGCTTTTGATGAAGAATCCAGCAGGTCTCATGTCTGTGCATGAGCACCGTCTGATGAGTGGCAACTTGTTGAGCAAAGGTGTACCTCATACGGAGACAGCAGGGGTTTGGAGAAGGCAGTGCCCCAGTCGATGGAAAGGCGTGGACAAGCGATCTGGACCCACCTGTAAAGAAAGACCAAGGTTTGTTAATTCAAGCAGCAGCAGCATCAGCAGCAGCGAGGGAAGGTGAGAGACCTATTAGACAGGCAGGGCACATATACGACTGCACGCTGCATGTGGAGACGTGATGCAGTGGGGAGAGGGGAGCCTCCCTCCACCTGATCTCCAGCATCTGTTGGGGAGATCTGTCCTGATTTGCAACAGTTCTAAAGACAGCCATTGCTACACTGTGTGAATGCATACCGAAATAGGGAGTCTTAAAAGAAGAGGGAGGGGAAGGGAAGGTTTGTGGCGGTCTGGTGGAGGGGGATGGTTGCAGGGAGGCAAAAAAAAAAAAAACAGGAAAAAGAAGTGAACAGAGGTGAAAAGAGAAGAAATGCCGTGAAAGAAAAAGAGGGAGAGGTTAGGTGAGTGTGAATAAAAAAGCCGCACCAGCCGGTCTCCACGGAGGTAGCCTACATAGCTCGCAGACAGGGTGGTGGTGGTGGTGGTGTGGGTTTAGTGGTGGTGGTGGTGGGGGCTGTGTATTAGAGATGGGGAGGGGGCGGGAAAAAGAGAGAGAGAGAGAGAAGGACACAGATACACAGCGATAGGGAGAGAGCGATGAAGACGAAGGAGGAGGAGGGTTTGCGAAGAGGCACAAGCAAGAAGAGAGAGGAGGAGAACAGAGGCAGGAGGAGAGCAAAAAAAAGATTGGCAGGGAGAAAAGTGTTTACTCTGGAAAATGCATGAGAAAGGGATGAGGAGGGTGTGGATGTAAACAGCTGCAGGGAAAAATGAACAATGGCAAAATGGAGACAGAAAGCGGCCGGGGCTACGGGGGTTAGCTTTCACTAGATCAATGCTATCCACGGCTCCATCTCTACCGAGGCACTGTACCCCTCCCCTCGTCCCTAATCCTAATGACGGAGCTCCATAGGAAATATTGACAAACACCAACTGAGCTGCAGTGCATTTAAAAACCGACATGAGATGTAGGTAAATGTCAATAAGAGCGCCGGGTTTTGAGGTTTAAGAAAAAGGACTGTGGGCAAGGACAGATGCGCAGATACTTTCAAGTCCATGGTACTGCGTCAAATTCCCCTTCAGTCTGTTCTTCATTTTCCAACTTTCACACAGTTTCTCAACTGCAGAATTGATTGCACCGCTGACTCTCACTCCACTCTGCTTTCTGTCACAGAAATATTCTACCCCCTCTGGGCAAACGCATGGCATTTTCTCATTTTCAAATAACACTTTTTTTTAAATGTCTCCCCCCTAAGAGTGAATTCTTATTCATCCTCCTAATTTGAGAGCCAGCTGAGTCAGAGACATTTGCACTGAGCGCAAATCTCCTCAGACCAAAGTTTGCTGAGTTTAGATAGAGAGTGGAATCTGAAATGTGACCTTTAAGTCTATCAGCTGCTGTTCGCAATCAGAGCCCTTTAAAGTAGCCAACCGCTGAACGTGCATCAGAAGCTCATATACGCGGGAAGAAAGGACTAATTACAGGAGCGTTCTGACAGTTTGTGTACACGTGTATGTGAATAGTTGCGCATAGGCGCTTCTTCTGCTGTCTGAATCTATGTTTAGCACGTCTTTGCATGTGCGAGATGCAAAAAAACAACACGGGGAGCGGTTTAAAAGAGGGAGGGTGATTAATAAGCAAAGACTCTTCTGCCTAAATCCTTGGGGCTAGCTCTGAGAGTGGAGTCTGAGAGGAAAGCAAGACAAAAAGCATGAAAGGGAAGGCATAGGAGGCATCGCTCCTAAGGAAAAGATAGCTGATTGCTAAAGCTTGAAGTCCCTTTACACTGCCTGTGCCAAAGAGACTGGCTGAATGGGGCATTTCTATAAAATGCATAGCACCATGCCAGGCATTGCCCCCAGAAAGGAGTCCAAATTTTATTTCCAGCCTTTATCAGTCTAACCAGCACAGTAGAGAACCCACATCATGAGGCGCAGCGAACAATGAGAGAACTGGAGGAAAGAGACACGGGAAAAGGTTGGGTTTTGTCTCAGGCGGTTAAGCCTCGCGTCACAACTTGCTCGCAAACAAAAATGAACTGAAATAAACGCTGATTGGATACGGCTTTGGTGATGGATGCTTGTCTCTTCTGTCCCTCTCTGAAGGATGTCTTTACTTGAGGAGAAAGCACAGCCTTTCAACATAAAGAGAGGATTAGAGGTGCAAGATGTGGGACTGGCGAGGTTTGCCATGATATATAAAGGATGACATTTAGTACTGCTATGCAACGTGGGCTCCAGCCCGGCTTCACTACATTACCTGCTGTGGCCCATTACACCCTGACACCGTTAGGAGGACCTCTACCTGCGCGGCTCTGCTTCAATTACACTCACAGTCTTGACCCGCCAAAAGCAAGAACAATTAACCTTTTAGAATGGCTGGAGAAAGAAAAAAAAAAAAAGAGGAGAAGAATGTCCTCACCTAAATGGCACATTTAATTGAATTAAAACAAACAATTTCATTTCAGCAAAGCCAAAAAATTAAAATTAAAATTCAAACAGAAAGATAAAAAGGCTGAAATGCACAGGATGGCATTTGCTGTCTGGCTGAGATAAGTGTGTGTGGTGTGCGGATATCTGTACAATAGTTTAAAACCTGCTTGGGGACAGCCTAATTACACACTTAAGAGCATATGCTAATGGTGCCTCTCTCTTTATATGAGCGAGTATGTGTGTGTCTAATGACAGAGAAAGCCTGGGGGTGGGTTCTGTACAGTGTGCTGCGTCGGCTGGTGCTGAGCAGCAGCGAGTCCTCCGCCATCCCTCCGTCTATCTCTCAATCTCCCCCTTTCTCACTCGCTCTTTCCTTGCCTTCCTCCTTCAGCACAGCTTCACAAACCTGGTGGTTTGTATTGTCTGTAGAATGCCTGTGTTCTTACAAACTATTCTGAGCCAGCCAGGGAAGAAAAATACAACAAAAACACAAAATTGCTGATAAATAAAGAAACACCAAAAATATTACCAACAAAGATCCCCTGGATGTTGTCCAATCTCACACACTCACAGTAAACACTTCAGATTAGCGATGGGAACAATGTAGTCGGCAAGTCGTAGCTTCAAAAATGAACTTGCAATTTCACATCTAACCTGGTGTTATTAAGGAACTCTAAAAACATTATTTTTAACACAGAAAAAAAAAGCCTCCACTGAGATGAACAAATGTAATGTCCTCCACAAGAGCTGGAAATAAAACTTTTTTTTTTTTCCTGCATAGATGCATTTCTGGCAGCTCTCACAGAGGGTTGTGCCAGCACAAAAGGGAAAACACCAGCGGCTAAATGATTAGCAACTGGGAATAAAAATAACATTTCTTTTTTTTTTTTTGAGGCATTTTGGTTAATTGAGGTTTCATTTACTCATGCATAATAGATACTTCTGTTTATCAAGTGGTCAGAGATTACAAGAAAATGCAAAGGTTTCTGTTAAATAAGGTAACACAGACTCACTGCCTTTACTTTACGAGGACCAATCACGTATAATTGCCCCTGAAATACTTCTTTGTTAGAACCAAACTGTGTTTGCAACAACTGTCAATGTTCTTTTTCTTTGACGTGAATTGAAAGTTCGCCAATTCTAAACAATTTTATTCAGACAAAGCACAGATAACGTCTTTGTGTTTTGACTGTATTTAAGTTTCTTTTCTTTTGTTAAATGAAAAAAAAAGGGTTTTGGACAAAAACATTCAACAAATTATGGTATTAGGATTAGTTCAGAAGCTCTGCTATTGTGTCGGCAACTATTGTCAAATTATAAACAGCCTTAGTGTTCAACGGCACAAACACAAAACTGCTGTTGAGCCGCATTGTGATGTATTAACACTCAGTGGCTGGTTTATTAGATACAGCTAGCTAAAACGAACACAGACTAATACAGCAGCACTGTAATAAATTATACTTTCATGAAGGGTAATAATGTTGAGTTTTTGCTTCTAGTTCTGTTTTAGAGTGGCACCACTTTAACTTTATGGTCACTTTGGAGGCTGTAGTGTGTATTGTGTAACAGTGACACGTTGTTTCTAATGGTTTGCATGTTTACAGCCCATTTGTATAAATAAAAGAAGACAAAATATAAAAGAATATATCTTCGTAAATAGGGTTTATTGCAGGGTAGTTAGTTTGAGAGGAGTTTCAGTGCATTTCTATTTGATAAATACTGTATACGGGCCTGGATTTTGTATTCCAACACTTTGGTTTTCTTGACATCAATCCCATAAACGCTACTGAAACAGATCTCGTTGTAAAGCTTTTTGTCTATAATGAGGGTTTGTTTTGGTTGGGAGAATCGTGCCTGAATTACATAATTTTCGAGTTGCACCCGTACATCAGTCTGAAGAGGAGAGAAGCTGCAAAACAAAGAAGAAGAAAAAAAAAATCGCTTTTTACCACGATCGCTTACTTTCCAAACACAGCCCCCTCAACTACCTCTGCATCTCTCTCTCTCCAACTCACTCTCAAGCTCTCTCAGACCTTCTGTCCCTCTCTCACCCACTCCTCCCTCACACATCGCACCTCTCATTACTCCACAGTGAGAGGCCAATCTGAGGGAGTGCGAGTGCCAGCGCGAGTGTGATTGGAGCTGTTGCACATCAGTGTCTCACTAACCCCTTGTCCGTCTTCAACTCTGCTGCTCTGGTTGGAAGTCAGATAAATCCGACAAACTGAACCTTGAAGCTGGAGTGCTTGAGGTTTCGTTGGGGAAACTTGAGGACTTAATTTCTAAAGACGAGGCGATGAACGTTGCCGGGCAGGATAACTGGTGCTGAAGTGCCGGAGAATATTTCAGCACCTGCCGGTTTGATTATCAGGAACATGCATCAATATCAAGATGCATGTCTGCATCACTGGCATCACACTTCGCCAGTAATTTAGTATGTGAGAGGGGATGAGTAAGTGTTTGTCAAGTTAGATGGTTTCACATTCTCTTTGGTTTCAGGTAATCCAACATATTTTTAGACTTAAAGTAAGATGATTAAGCAGAAGAGTCTAAAGATAATAATGAAAAATAGTTTCGATAAAAAGCCATCTTGACCAAGGGCAAGGTTAATGCATTTTTTCTATTTTTTTATTACACACTGACCTTACTGCAAAAGTACAGAGTGAAAAGTAAGCACTTCAATGGATTATTCATATATAAAATTTCTTCTTGCTGAGGAAATTGTGTAAAGCAATCAAGTTCATCAAGTTGGGATGATTTGTTTTTGCTACAAAGGCAAAACTGTGGAATCTCCCCAAGACCTGAATGCCAATTTTGTTTATGAAGCTATAAACTCTCGACTACTGTTTGTCAGCTCCTTGTTATATAGTGCACTGGCATATTATGCTGACTCCCCAATTACGTGTGCAATGATGCTTACAGAATACATTTTCAAATGTTGTTGATTGCAAACTTGTAGGTGACTACTTGCTGTTGATCATAATAGCTCTGCCACGGTCCATGATGTGAAAGATAAATTACCCATTCGTTATATCAAAGGGACACCACGGTGATTAAGACTTTGCAAATGAAGAAAAACAAGGAGTCAAAGGAGGAGTGTGTGAGGACAATGAAATCTCGACTTGAATGTTGCTGAAAGCCTTTTGACGAGAGCGAGGAAAAACTGCCAAATACGCTGTACGAGAGGCTCTTCAAGTCTTTGCGGGAACAAAAGTAAAACGGCAACCTTCTCACTGTATAAGAGGGAATCTTAGCCTTGCATAAGAATGCTTTATGCATTGTAGTGTGGTTTAAAAGCGTTAGAGGGGTTGTTAGGGGGAAACTGACCAAAAACACTTTTCAAGCAGCAGGATCAGCCTCAAACCAGCTACAGCCACAACTTAAACAATGGCCTTGATTTGTTTTCGACACTGCAGCTAAAGCAGTGACTTCTGGAAGGAGAGGAGAATACGGGGAATTGTTTTTACCTCATCTGCTATGGTTAAGCAGCTCTGACTCATTGAATAGCATGTCCTGATTTGGGGATGCGTTAGTGTGCGTACGTGCGCAGATTAATACTTACGCGTCTACTTCTGGCATCAGATCCAGCTTGCTTGGGAAAATCTCAGAGAGAAGCACTCGAGTGAAGGACTTGCCCAATGACTGGAGCCTTGATTCCAGGTGCTAGGAAGAGAAAGAGACAAAACAAAAAAGGACTAAGGTTTGCATCTCGCATATCGAACACAATTCTCTCTAGACTTGTAAAACTCCACTGTGTATTAAGTTACAAATCACATCGCCAATAGTGTCGATCGCCAGTGATCACAATCTTTTAAACACTCCAGTCAAGCGTTTTCCACCAGTTTTGCTCGACTGTTAACAATCTCGCCAGGAAGTCTCCAGATCTCTGAAGCCTCATATAGCCGTCCATCTTCTGCGGCTTACCCAAGTCTGCACACTGTTGATAGCAAGTTGAGCAGAAAGCGACTTCTCCTTAGCCATGTCCTCCAGCTACTCCTTGCATTCTAAAGCCAGCTGGGACATGTAATCCCCCTAGTATATTGTGGGGATTCCTCTGGGTCTCCTTCCAGTTGGCTCTGGGCCTCCACAGGGAAGCATCTAGATTAGGTGCTAAAGCCACCTGGCTATTTCCAGAGCAAAAGATCAATGGTTCCCCTCTAACCTCTACACAGATCTCTTCATCTTGGCGCTACGTGTCCAGGTACTCTGTAAAGTTAACTCAGCTTGGGTGCTCATAGCCACGATCCCATTCTTTCAGTCTCTACCTGGAGCTTACTGCAGCCACTGAGTGAACACACCTGCCAAGCTAATACATCTTATGGTCACTAAGAAACAAGACAGTGTGATTCAACTTGCCCAATTTATTCAGCAATTTATTACCAACCCAAAGGACGGAATCCTTTGAATGGAATCGAGTCTTGTACCTTCAGATGTGAAAGTGTCGACTCAGGCAGTTGCTTTACACCCAGTCGTTCACAGTCTGATGAGGCCTACAGAATTATATCCTCAGCATGGCGTGATGACGATGATGATGACGACGACGATGACTGACGATTGATGATGATGACATTGATGATGATGACATTGATGACAATGATACTGATGACAGTGATGGTGACCACGACAACAACGATGATGATATTGACGACAATAATATCGATGATGAGGATATGTTGGATGATGAAGATTATTATTATTATTGCACCTGAGATACTTCTGAGAGAATCCAGTCAGAAGTTTAGCTGCAGAGCTGGTACACTGTACAGGGCTAAGAATAGCTATGTTTAATTGGTACCTTCTTAAGAACAGTTTCCACCAGTTTTTACAGTAAGGGTTAAAGACACTAAAGCCTTCAATTTTCTACCTTTCACAAAGCACCAGACCACTACACCACCCTGGAGGTTAGTGGGTCCACAGGGAGTTGGCCTCACTTCCCTTCCTCACGGTGAGCAGGATCTGGTCCCATGGGTGCCAGATCTCATACAATATATGAAAATGTTTAGCCAGTTCAAGGAGCTCTGCTCCCTTGCCGACTCTGCTTTTGAAGTCGTGGGCAGTGGACTGAGGTGTTATTCAGAAATGCAAGAGGCAACCAGCCCAAGTGAAGAAACCCCACAAATGTTCCTCTGGTGAGATATAGGTTGCTGATATCCACTTTCCTTAGGAGTACCATGAGAAATTTCTCTTACTGTGCTCTTATCAGACATAGAACTGTCCCTTTAGCTGAGAGGTTATCTGACACAACACTTCTTAATCTCAACAGATCGCTAAGGGAGTCCTGGTGAGTTTGTATTCAAATCCCCCTTTTAAATCCATACTCTCCCGCCACATAAAAGGAATCTTTAAGCTTTAATCTCTGGTTGACATTTTCACATCATTGCAAACTTGATCTTTCTAATCTAGATATCTGCAAAGAAGGAAAACCATCAGACATAAACCTAAGAATGTATACTGGCTGATGAAACCTAGGTGTGCTGTAGTTTTAAACCTTTTATAGCTACACTGATCAGCCAAACCATTAACATGAACATTAATCATGATAATATATCACGATTAACAACAATCTTCTGCTGGAAAATCTTCAATCCTGGCATTTATGCATATGGAAATCATAGAACGACAAGACAGCAGCAGCCTCCCTCAGCAGGACGAGGCGCCCTCCAACATCGCAAAAACTGAGAGTCCATGGGATGTGCTGCCACAAACTGGATCCACAAAGGTTCCAAGAGGTCCCACATCTATGCCTCAACAGCTCATTTTTGGAAGCACAATGGGAGCCATACATAAGATAAGGCAGATGGTTTTAATGTTGTGGCTTATTGGTGTAGCATTCAAGCAGTAATTAAGAGTTCTACCATACTGCAACACAGACACGATCATGTGAATAAGGCAAAGCCAGTGAACCAAGTCAAACAAACACTGAAAAATAAGTTGGCATAGAACACAAAGGAAAAAAAGATCAAAGAGAACATTAAAGAATGAGCAATGGATGGGAAAGCAGCAGGAGGTTAAAGGTGAGGAGTGACCAGAGAGGACTTCTCGGTCTATAGATTGTGCATAACAGCTTGTACTTGCACAGACTTTAAACTTTTCACTTATGAGTCTGCACCTAATTGACCAGCATGCGAGCGTGTGCACATACATGCAGCGGTACTTATGAATTCCAAAGCCATCGGTTCTGTCTGAGTGAGTGTGTCTTACGCCGAATGTTGATACAGCTGGCGAAAGTGTGTCTTACATATTAAGAGCAACTTAGTGCCTGGAACATTTACTGTCTTTTAATTTAACACCTTAAAAGTTGTAAAAGGGTACAAGTTTCACAGAATTATTACAATTAACCATCTGAATTCCGCCTAGAAACGCCTGCTGAATAACAACATCTGGGTGATGGAATTTTTCTTGTGTATTTAATTTATTCAAAGACTCAGTTTACTGGGATTGTGCTGTGAAAAGCTTTCTTTGAGGGAAAACTTGACTTTTGGTACAGTGTTTTTTTATGCTTTATATTTCATTCATTGATTGCTGATAATGTTTTATCTGTGTTGTCTTAAGAATGAAAGAAATTGCTCAGAATCAAGCATCCCCAGTAACACTCCTACACAGCCAACCTTGAGGCCAACAGCAAGATCAAGGGCAGGACTCTCTGCAATTGTTTAGCTGCATCATCCTAAATGTGAAATAACAAGCTCCCAGTGTGACGTCTGTCCTATTAGTACTTCATGTCACCGTATCACTTGTCAAAAGCAACTCCCACTGAAAAATATTACAAGCCATTGCACAAGTGGCCTCAGGACATGTAGACTGTTGAAATGTGGATGCAAACTCACCTCCAGGACTTTGGGGCTGCCCTGTCGGCCCAGCGTGCCCAAGATGAGCCCCCATCTCTGTGCCAGTCGAGCCTTGTCAATAGCCTGGTGCCTTAAGGCACGCATGGCCTCGTGGTCGTAGTACTCCCTGGAGAACACCTTACTATAGGGGTCATATCTGCAGTAAGAGAGAGGAAAAAGGCTGAGGCATACAGATGTGTTTGTAAACGTCAACAGACAAACCATATTATACACATTACCGTCTATTGTTCAGGTATCTATCTTGAGGACAGAAATGCAAGAAAAGACGAAAAATCCAATCATGAAAAGCCATCAAGTATGACAGGAGTTAGTGTATCTTAGGGAAAATGGAGGTATTTCTGAGCATCTAATCTCCTTTTCTCCGGTACAAGGGGTTCACTTGAGATTAGTATCTTGTTTATGAGAGAGACCTGTGATCTGTGCGGCAGTGCATATGTGTATAACAACACAATTTCACTTTGCATGCAAACAAGGCCTCATCAAAACAGAACTTCATCCTCAGAAAACATTATCACAGCACTGCAATAAGGTGCAGGATCGTGAATACAAGGGTTTGAAAAATCTGAACAGCTCTGAATAGCATTACAAAATGTTGTTTATATGCCAAAAACAGTATTTTAAAATGTGTTTTTATATTCTCTATTAAAAAAATGCTTGTTTTCTCTCTGGTTTTCCAAATTTGGTAGCAACTTGCTGTATTTCATGTTATCAGTTGCTCCTAAACCGTGTTGTAATGCTAATTGACTACAATGAACATTTTGTAGATGAGATCAGGATATAACAACAAAGATATGGAAATATCTGACTGCAAATGGTTTCATTTTGTTTCACAATACCTGTAGGCAGGGATATCTGGGTTTGCAATCATGATCGACTCCAGGTGAAATCTTCCATCTCCTAGATAACTATAGAGAGAAACACCAAATCAATCCAATGTTTCAGGTAAATGAAATGAGGGGGGTGGAAAAAAAATAATTTGTACAAAGAAAATCTCCTCTAAGCAATCAAAATGCAGTGCTCAACCATATTGAACACTGACCTATTATTCTCTCAGCCTCTCCATCAGCTTTCTCTCTCGATAAATGTATTCATCTCTGTATCCTCCTAACAGAAGACCAAAGTGTTTCCAGGCAGAAGGCCTAAGGCTGAGGTGGAGGGTCTACCCACCGCTGCTGTCCAGGAACGCGACCCCAACGATCGCAGCATGCTGTTTACAGAGAATGCGAGCTCTTCCAATTAACCCCAGGTCTAGTGCTGGGGATTCACCGAAGCCGGAGCAGAGGCAGAGTTCACAAACCATAAACACACAGTGGCATGTAGGTGCCTGAAAACACGAGTTCTCTTACATAAATCCTGCTGAGGGGTCAGGCTGAGAGGAATCCCGCTGTGAATGTGAGTGGGCTCGGGTTGGTACCCCCTTACTCATTACTGCATAGTGTCTGTAGACCCACTGAGACCGGACATGCAATTAAACCCACTAATTGGTCAGTGTTTAGAACAGCTTGAAACAGGCGGTGGGTGGTTTGCCATATAGGTTACAAGGAGACGTGACTTGCCGAGTCTTTATTTGCAAGCACACACATCTCAGGTTGGATGTGAGTAATAACAATCAACAACAATATTATATATATGTCTGTCTCTTTTCTTTTCCTGAGAATCATCCAAGGCCCTCATATAATTATGTTTTCAACAAGAAGCACGTCAGCCACAGTCCTCCTCACCAATCCGTAGCTTTAAAAGGCTAATGTGCTCGACTCGTCACCAAAGTCCTTACATCGAGATTCTATTGTTCTTCGCAAAAATGCTCTCGCTATAATGGCGAATGCTATGTATCTATATATGCAACATCCTATCTTCACTTGCACACCCTAGTATTGTTCCATTATGAGCGAGAGCAGAAGCAGGAGATAGAAACGGTCAAATGATCACTTCTTGGAGCGCTTTTCAATGTACTTTGCAGCTTTTAAAAATTGCTTTTCATTCTAGAAATGACACAGACCTGGGCCTTTGAAAGCCTCAACATTGGCTTCAAAGACTATTACACTGCTATTCATTCTCTATAATGCTCCAGAAATTCAAAACTTGGATAAAATACAACTTCAACTTGTGCATATGCTATTTTCCGAGTGCAGACTAATTTTTAATTAATGTAACATAACCCGACGTTAAATATTAATTTATCGCTTTATTGAAGGTGATGAACAGAACTACACACTGCTGAGAGGAAGAATGAATGTAAAGAAGATTGGTGCTGCTTTTCTTAGAGATAGTGAATAATCAGTCGTGTCATTACCTTAATGGTAGTTCATTAAGGTAAAAGAAAGCTCATAGTAAATGCATAATGAGACACTTTATCTCTTTGGGTTGATGATTAAAACACTGTTTGTGAGGTGTTGCTATACCAGAGAGGGAGATAGTGCATATTTCAGGAGGTCTGACATCCTCCCTGCATCTGTATGTTACTGATGTGTACAACATAAGCACGTGTGCGTTAAATGTGGATGTGAGGAACAGAGAGAGACTGAAGCAAACCAGCTCTCAGGCAGGCTAATCGATTCTCTCTCCCAACACACTCCTGACACATCAAAGACAACGCACGTTGAATTAGTCGGTGAAAGACACTCTGACGCTTCTTTCACACGAAGAGAGACGCACACTAATACACACACCACTTTTGTCTCCACTTATGCATACAGCAAGCTTGTCCTTGTGTAGCCGTTTTAATCTCATGCACTGGGAGGTTTTTAATCGCATGGACTAACACTAGATGTGTGCAGATCAGACATATGGGGTGATGGACCTCCACATAATTATACCAGGGGAATTACATCATCTCGCTGTGCATCTCAAAGCTGCATAAGATTTCTCTGCTTGTAGAACAGCACAAGACGTATGGACGCAAAGTGGCTGTGGAGGTGTTGTTTGTTGCTTGGACCTGCTACTTTGCTGGATCGCCTTCCTCCCCGCAGCACAGAGAGGATAAGCACCACTTTGACAAGTCTCACATGTGCAGCGTTTCTGTGAAAACACAGAAGAACTAGTTTTGTAGGACACATGCAGCTGCTGAATGGATTCATTTGGTTTTTCAACCCCTTGAGAAGGAATGAAAAGGGAAATAAGAATTTAAAACAGGCAATCATACGAGCTGTAAAACATTTACAGGCAAACTGTGATGTTGCACAATTTATCAATTCTCGCTGCGTGCGTGTCGCCAAAGGTGTCGTACTTTGTAAAAATCATTTCCTTAAAACTTGGAAAAACGGTTGAGCGTGCGTTGTGGTGGGTTGGAAACAGGCAAAAGTGTCTGACTATGAGCAATTCAAAGCTTGTCACAGTGGTATTTTCTACCTTGCTGTTCTGGATCACCGCTGGGCTGTTAGTGGCTGGATATAATAGCTGCACACATACAGGTAGTTGCCACAGCCTTCTATGTCTGCTGTGACCGCTATATTGTCATACTGATCATTACACATGAGTGGACATGACAATTGGCAGGCGCAACTGTGGAAGATAAGCACGGAGGAGACAATAGCTGGATGAGTCAACGCTGGAGGTCTTTGGTTATCTGGATAATCTCTGCTGACTAACAAAAACAGGATCTCGGCTGAGACTGTGAGGTGGAACAGACAGAAAGAGGGAGATTTCTTACATTATGGCATTAACGTGGCGGTCCAAGCGAGGGGACGTACAGCCCAGAATCTCTCCTGGTGACAGAGGACGACACTGTGGGACAAACATGTCGTACTCCGGCTTGAGGGCTGCACTCACAGCCTGCAACGTGGAGGAAGGGTGAGAGAATTATACGTATGGCGCACATATTTAGTCAATTCTCTGTATTCAATTGGTCCTTCTTCCACTGGCATTAAGACAGGAGACACACAAAACAAATGCAGTTCACATAGAATATAGTCTAGATCTATTAGGACATTTCATTTGTAACAAAAATGGCTACAACAGTAAAGTTTTCATTTTAGTTTGTTTACATCAATATAGAAAGATCTATTTTCGAAGTATATCTCTTTGAACACTAAGTTCAGGAGTTCAAAAGCTATCGTACAAAAACACATCAAGCCAAACAATGTTTCACAGCCCACTCTCCAATTACAATAGAATCCTTGCAATTTTTCAAAATTTGCATAAACCTACTTGAAATAAAGCTGAGACTTGCCACTTTAAAGTTACATTCAGTATATACTTCAAAAATGAATGCGCTGAAGCACAGAGCCTGTGGAACAAAAATGTGTAAAAGTATGAATACATTCTGGGCTGTATATATATGCAGAAGAGAAAATGGTGAGAAATGATAAAGGCCAGAAGAGACTTCACTCAAAATGTGTCTCTAAAGTGATTTTGAAAGGGTCATGCATAAAACTCATTCTCCCACAGATTTGACTCTCAATGCAGCCACCTGTGTTTAAACCCTCACAATTCTGCAGAGCACTGAGAAAGAAACTGTGTGCCGCACCGCAAACCACACATTCTGAAAAACATTAAAACGTAAATAAGAAGATTATCAACATGCTAATAAGGGAAATAAATAAGTTCTGAAAAGTTTGGTCTAATACTTAAGAGAAATCAACATGAATGCAACCCTCTGAAACCCCAAACCTGTCAGCAGCTTTAAAAAGACATGTCGTCTTTACAAAATCACCAAAATGATGCCATTTGTTAGAGCCAGAAACAGAGAGAATCATTTGATTTAAAACTTTCTGATGGTCCTTTAACTAGTTATCTGTGATGTGCTGTTCAAAAAAACATAACCAAATCTAAGCTTAAAGTTGCGATAGTTTCTGAAAATCACTCTCTTATACATGTGTCATATAATTAAAAAAAAGTTCTTGTTTGTTCTAAAGCAGATTCTTAAAAAATAGAACAAACAAACAAAACAAACTCCTCAGCGCAACCTGAAAGACATTAATGCCTCAACTGTGAAAAACAGTTATGGATGAAACATGGAGAAAATGTTGTAAATGTTGATTCCAGGTTTTATGCATTTTTGTACAAGAAGCAATCAAATAAATTCAGTTTCTTTTTTTATGATTTGTGGAATTCTAATTGTGTCATAGTACACAAAACACGTTTTTGAATTGCCTATACTTCTTACCATGGTTCTCCTGTTTCTAAAGTGGTGCAGAACTTTATATTGCAGAGTTTAAGTCCAAAGGGAGTAAAAAAATGTGACAGGAGAAGAAGTTGCCCACAAACTGCTTGGGGTTCAGCGAGTTAAGTAAAGTGAGAACACGGGAGAACAAACAATTACAGCAAAAACAAACAAACACGTGTTAGTGTGCTCTCAGGCGGAAGGATAAATTGAACGATTTAAGGCTAATTTAAGACAGTCCGCAGGGAATACGGGTGAACTCCAAGCTTCTCCCGCCCATACTGTGTGACCCCTGCAAGCCTACACACCGTAAGACATGAGCGAAGATGGAGGTACACATGCATACAGTACACAGCTGCACAAACGCAGAGAACCATGCGCTCAAACACACCACAACATATAACAGGACCCGCAACAGCAGAGCATCATTTAAAAATAGCTGCGGTTACATTAGTGAAAACCCGGCGCCGTGTTGGTGCAACACAGCAATTGAAAGCAGCAGCAGCAGCAACAGAATGCATTATAGAAGAAGGAGGCAGCAAACCTGAAAGATGGTGTTCAAGTTTAATACTATAGCTGCTGCCACTGCTTATGTAAAGAGCAGCACCGAGCACGATGCTGAACCGAGAGGCCTTCCGAGTTCATTCCACCTTTTAAATCCAAAATAACTGCTGCCGGATTTGTCAAACCCACACTTGAACTGAGCTTTAGAGTGGAGTGTGAGCTTGTTCATGAAAGCCAGGGAAAAGTGCTATATAAATGTAGCGATGTATGTATAGGTGTGTATTCCTGTCCTGTATACAAACACGCACACGTGTGAAGAAATATGCGAAGGTACAGAACCAGCCAGCTTCCCATACTTGCCCACATGCACACCAAAACAAGCGCTTAATCACCTGCAGTGCTGCCACAAACTGAATAGTGCTGACGAGTGCCAGAGATTGTCCAGGGGCGAAGTTGAACTTGACCGTGTCCAGGAAGTGTGCATTGTCCATCTGGATATCCACAAACACATACAGCATCTTAATACCTGCTGTCGAGTCTATGGGGACTGCAGAGAGACAAAGACAAAAGAAAGACAGATGAATAATTCAGTCTATTATGTCAGGTAAGCCTGCGTTACATACACTATTGATGGGACCTCATACAGCTATACGGGAAAACAGCGCGCGCACATACAGCATATCTGTGAAGTAAGAGCGGCTGCCTGTGAGATACAGCTGAAACCGAATCAGAGCGGGCTTCCAGCACACGCAGGAGCTGATGCAAATACTTCAATTATTTAGGGAAGTAGAGGGACACATGCGATTACTATTAATGCCATTAATTTCACAGGCCATTTGCTACGGGCCTAGGAGACGCAGCTCGGGATGTGACGAGTTACATGCCGAACAAAGTCCAAGGAAAGAAAGGGGAGGAAAGGGCATGGATAAGAGAGAGGAATCATTGTTGGTGTTGATCATTAAAATTATTCTTCCTCTTGTGTTAATTTGCAGATCAGGAGCGAGGGGACTTTTTTGTTATAATTAAGCAAATTGCTCCATTATGATGAAAACGTTTTACGAGCAAGTGCGACTCACTTGATGGCCTAGATTAAAGCAACGTTGAGGGAGAAAAGAGATATGGGAGCGAATCATCCCGAGGTGCAGAAAACAGGGAGTGAATGGAGAAAGGGATGTTGGGAAAACCGAGAAGCTGTTTTCACAAAAAGGGGGCTGAGGGCAGATGGGATTAAAGCAAGAGTGAAGAATGAGGAAGTAGGCTGGAAAACACTGAAATTCAATTTAGGGGTTGAGGGGGGGGAGGTAGTCTCATAATCATAAACTCCAAATGATTCGGCTTGGAAGACAGGAGGGGAAAAAGTAATAGGATACTGAATGTGTGTTTGGTTGGAGCGTGAGGGGTAGGTTGTCAATTAACTGGGAACAGAGGTGATGGATGCGCACACATCTCTGCAGAGAGGGGAAGGAAGGAGATGGATAGGCATTTATGAAGGGGGGCTTTGCTGCAGGCCACATGTTTAGTGTAAAAAAACCAAGGAGTTAAATATATCATGAGGCTAAAAACGGTCGGAAGAGATGAGTAAAAATCTACACTGAGACTAACGGCTGTCTGTTGCTTGTTTATGGGCGCTCCCAAACCGTAAAGGGCAGAAGAAAGCGACATCGATCTGTGTTCACATTAGCATGGTAGCCTGAGAGCACTTAGGCGTTGCAATTAGAGACGCTGTCAATGCGACGGACAGGACTCACTCGCACCATCACTGGTTTTACTCTTGCAATGAAGTCACTTAGCACAGCTGCTTATTAAAGGCCGCGTAAACACATACACGGGCGCATTTACGGCGAGTGAAACGAAGAAAATAAGGCTGATGGTATACTGCCTCGTTTACAAATGGTTTGTTAAAAATTAAAAACAGAATCTATTCTATATTTTACTTGTGCGCAGATTCATAAATTATACAGCAGCCATTTGGCACCTTCCATAAGTGTTCTGAGCTAATCGGTGTGTGACACGTGGCATTAACATTCACGTCACTCTAATCTAACATCTGTTGCGTGTCTGAGAACAGATACAGGACGGTGATGATAATGGAGCTGATCTGTGGATGAAAACAAGACTTTGGACTACACAATTATTTGCAGTGTTTGTTATATTTTTATATTATAGTTTTTCATTGCTACAAACTGGGTTGAATACACTATGAAGTTCACAAACAGAACGCTGAAATAATTGACCGTGCATTAGTCTTGCAAAACCGAGCCATTCTGGAGAACAGAAGAGTCTGGCTGCACTTCTTCTGTATTCTGTTAAAGGAGAAAAAAACACTTTGCGGTAGTGGTTAATAACTCACTAATTAACAGTTTACAAATGATCTATTAACTAGTTATAACGGATAGTTATTATAAAGTGTTACCCACTCTGCTTGTTTGTGTTTCTTTAAACCAATCAGAATAGCATCATGCAGAGCTAAGTGAAACCTCAAAATAGTCATGGGTGGAGTTGTTTTGGTGGAACATTTGCACACAGGACAGTGAGCACTGCCATCAAAACGGCTAATTCAGCGACAAAAACCAGCAGGTCTGCCTTCCGTCACCAATCCGAATCCCTGGCAAAATTTTAAGTTTTCCATGTGAGATGTTGCCTACCCAGTTGTTGGTTCATGTAAAGAAGGGGATTTTGAAAATGGTGACATGTAGATAGATTGGGAGGAGAAAGCTGTGTGAAATACATGGCCAATATTAAGTTTATACTTGCAGCCTACAGTGCCTATAAAAAGTATTCACCCCCCTTAGAAGTTTTCCTCTTTTACTACGTTTCAAAACTTAATCATAGTACATATACTTTGGCTTTTTTTTTGATAAGAACTTACACAAAAAGGCTTTCATGTCATAGTAAAACCAGATTTCTAAATGAATCAAAAATATAAAATAACTGATTGCATCATTTTTCATTCCCTTTAAAGTGACTCACCTTACAACAGTCAAAGCGGACAAGAGGACAGTGGCAAAGAAAAGCCACAGATGAAAAAAATAAATATCTGTGTTCGCCAGAAGGCATGTCGGAGACTCTGAAGTCAACCGGAAGACAGTTCTTTGGTCTGTTGAGACCAAAGTTGGGCTTTTTGACTTAAAGACTAGACGTTATGTTTGGTAGACACCTAACATTTCACGTCGTTGCAAATGCACCATCCCTAGCATGGGGGTGGCAGCATCATGAAACGGGCGTGTTCCTCCTCCTCCGCAGCAGCAGGCCCTAGAAGTCTTGCAAAGGGTAAGTTTACTGGAGCAAAGAAGACAGGCAGACACAGAAGAACCTGATGCTGTCTGCAAGAGAAGTGCGGCTTGGGAGAAGATTTATTTTCCAGCAAGACAATGAAGCATACTGCCAAAGCTGCACAGAAATAGTTTAAAGACAAGAAGGGGGAATGTTCTGGAGTGGCCGAGTCAGAGGCCAGACTTCAATCCAATCGAGAATTTGTGGATAGACTTGAAAAGAGCTTGTCACTCATGATCACCGTGCAACCTGACAGAGCTTGAACTGTTTTGCGAAGAAGAATGGGGTAAAATTGCAGGGTCCACATGTGCAAGATTGAGACCTATCCACACAGGCTCAACGCTGCAACTGCTGCCAAAGGAGGATCGACTAAATCTTGATGTGGAGACGGTGAATACTCATGCAGCCACTTATTTTTAATAAGCTTTATATTGTTAATTAAATGATATTGCTTTGCAAAACTCTGTTTTCACATTAAAACTAAAGATGCTTCTGTAAAAAGCTAGATTATATTATCATGACTCAATGTTGAAAACTTATTAAAGGGGAAAATCTTCCAACAGGGGTGAGGACTTTTTATAGGCACTGTACATCTGGTGAGTCAGACTAATCATGCATATACTGCATATATTTTTTCAATAGATATTTTTCAGCATTTTTTTTTTACTTTATTGGAAAATGAAGAAGCTGACAGCAGGACTGTAGAGTGAATGTAGTTATAGAGTCAAGGTCTTCCATAGGACGCATATATTGTGAGTAATTAGGTGATAAATATCAAGTCCTAAGTGTCTATAGATGGGAATTGTTGGACTCAGGTGTCATCCTGTCACTAGCCGAATGTAAAATTGGCAGTGTGGGTAAGTTTTGCTTAAGCTCTTGTAAAATGATTCATACCACTAAAATAGTCAGGATCTGCTCAGGATGTTTAAGAAGGTCCAGTAATACTTTGCTATGGCAGCTGGCCTGGCATTATCTGAGCAAAGCTGCTCCGTCCTGCCAGTTTAGTTTTTTTTCCTGGAGGCAAAAAAACCCAAAAGTTTCATTTTGTTGTCTTTATTTTGTTTCTTCCCTCTCCTGCCCACTCACTCTCAGTACTTTTCCTTTTTTATCTTGGGCTTTTTTTTGTTCCGCCTCGTAAGGTACTATTCAGCATCAACAAGGTTAAATAAAATTTCCACCACTCATATCCGCAAACAATATTAGAACTTTGAAACAAGGCACTGTGATGTTGCTCACGCTGTTCTGCAGAAAATGGGGGTGCCTTATGATGACAAAATATGAGAGGACATGAATACTCAAAAGCAGATACTGCAGAGGAAATAAAAAGGGGAAAACAAAGGAACGCTGGAAAGACGGTTTCTCTGTGAGTCAGTCAAAACACGGCGTCTTTCATCTCCCACAGGTGGCTGACATCTTGAGAAACAGTGCAGATGATGTCCTCATGACTGAGTGATGAAAGTCAGGACAGCATACAAACTGGCACCCGTACACACGAACGCTCTGGAAATCTGTAGCCCGTTTGATTGCTTTGAAAATCTCTTCCATCAGCTAATATCTGATCTAACTTCACAACCCACGCAAGACTTTAGTACCTTTATCTTTGCGTTTATTCGGTCCTTCTGAGCCTAAATGGGGAATGTGTACACATCTTATCTCTTTTGTAAACATACGTGCCTGCGCTGGCATAATTCCTCCGTGATTATCAAATAATGAATGTGCCCACACACGCGAAGACAAACAAACACAAACAAAGCATAAACCAAAAGATTGGAGAGTTTTTTTGTTGTTGTTGTTTGATTTTTTTATGTTGTATTAAAATTCTGTTGGTCATTTCTGGTATTTGGGAGAGGTGAGCTTGTTCTGGCAGAGATATATCAAAACTATTGATTTAACATTTCCTCCCATGTTCTGCAAAAGACAGACAGCGGGGGCGAGGGTGAAGGTCCTCAAGAACTGCTTGAGGTTTTCAAAAGGACGGCTCTAATGCATGTTCCCCATTGATCTGCCGGGTAAATGTGATGTCCGGGCTCCAAAGGTCTGATATGCTTTCCATA